CAGCCTGGAGCTTCTTCCAAGTCTCCCATGCAGGTGCAGGGGCCCAAGAATTTGGGCCATCTTCCACTGCTTTCCCAGGCCATAGCAGAGAGCTGGATTGGAAATAGAGCAGCTGGGTCTGGAACTGAATGTTTTGGTTTGAAGAGCATATCTAAGGACTGGTGCTGCGGCATAGCAGGTAAAGCCGCTGCCTGTAGTGCCGGCATCCCATATGGGCTCTGGTTCAGAAGCTGGCTTTTTTCACATACAGGTCTACGATGCATCTGAAGTTAATTTTTGTGTATGGTGAGAGGTAGGAATCAAGGTGCATGTGTGTGTGTGTGTGTGTGTGTGTGTGACGCTGCAGCATCATTTGTTGCAAAAGTCTTTTTTTTTTCCCACTGAATTCTGTTAGTGTATTTGTAGGGAATCCATTGTCAGTTTGAGTAGGTTTACCCTATAGATACATGTTTCTGCTCTTTCTCTAATAGTCTCTTCATTGTTATGCCCCATTAATTTTGAAAAGCAGAGGCCTTTTCTTAATTCTACTGCTTATCTTCTGTTCATTACTTAAATTTGTCAACTATTCACATTCTTTGTGGGGAACAACAAAGGCATTGACATCGGGGAGACTTATGAGAGAGACAGAGAAAGAAACAGAGAGAGAGAAGGACAAACAGAGCTCCCATGTCCTAGTGTACTCCCCATTCAGCTGTGTTAACGCTGGCAGGCAGCATTTGCTGGCTCAAGTAGTTGCTATCCACATGGGAGACCCACGTGGAGTTACTGGTTCTTGGCTTCGGTTTGGCCCAGCCCTGGCTGTTGGAGCCATTTGGGGGAATGGACCAGCCTGGCAAAGATCTCTCTCTCTCTCTGCCTTTAAAATGCATGAAAGTAAGGAAACATTTAACACATCTGATGCATCTTGCGTGGTCTCTGTGCTTCTTCCTAGGTAGAAGATCTAGGAGAGGGCTGCCTCAATAAGCTGACCAACTGCAAGGCTGCTGAACACCCAGCGTGCTGTCACTGGATATAACACACGAGAGAGTTTCTGGGCTAAGTCCCTGAGACTGTGTGCATGGTTGTTAGAGCAGTTGGCCTGCCCTACCTCATGCACATGCTCAAGACTCACATCTTCAGGGGCCAGTGCTGTGGCACAGCGGATAAAGCCGGCGCCTGCAGTGCTGGAATCCCATATGGGCACCAGTTCGAGACCTGGCTGCTCCACTTCCGATCCAGCTCTCTGCTATGGCCTGGGAAAGCAATGGAAGATGGTCCAAGCCTTTGGGCCCCTGCACCCGTGTGAGAGACCCGGAAGAAGCTCCTGGTTCCTGATTGGCGCAGCTCCGTTGCGGCCATCTGGGGAGTGAACCATCAGATGGAAGACCTCTCTCTCTCTGCCTCTCCTCTCTCTATGTAACTCTGACTTTCCCTAAAGGGAAAGAGAAAGTGAATCTGCTTGGGAGCAGCTGAGCTAGTGCCCTTGGAGGCCAAGCCTGCCCATCCATCTCCGCATGCGCCTTAAGCAGCAGGAAACTTGGCCCGCCCAACCAACCATGGGGACACCAGAGCTCGGCCATTCCTGCCCAACGCAGAACCCTTGTGAGGGGCGCTTTTAAAAACTGAGGATTTCTGTCTGCATTAAGGCCTTGTCACCACCACTCTGCGCTCTGAGGTCTCCAGGTCCAATCCGCCTTCCTTCTGCTTGGTACTGAAGCTGGAAGACCCCCGCTCCCTCCTGCTGGCCACACCTCTCTCCCTCACAGGTGCTTCCTGGCCTGTCCCACGACGATAATCCTGTTATCCAGACCTCGGAGGACCAGAAGGGACACAGCTGGCGGTCATGTAATACCAGCTCAAAAGTCACTTTCTCAGAGACCTTCTCAAACCTCCACTATTTAAGCTCTGGTCACCCCTGTTGCACGTTCCTGTCTCAATTTCTTTGTAGAATTTGACATTGTACCCTTTACATTTTTAATTTTTTTTCCCCGAATAGACTTTTATAAAGTAGCTTACAGGTATCTTTTTTTTTTTTGATAGGCAAAGTTAGACAGTGAGAGAGAGACACAGAGAAAGGTCTTCCTTTCCATTGGTTCACCCCCCATATAGCCGCTATGGCCAGTGTACTGCGCTGATCCGAAGCCAGGAGCCAGGTGCTTCTTCCTGGTCTCCCATTGGGGTGCAGGGCCCAAGGACTTGGGCCATCCTCCACTGCCTTCCTGGGCCACAGCAGAGAGCAACCGGGACAGAACTCGGTGCCCCAACCGGGACTAGAACCCCGGGGTACTGGTGCTGTAGGTGGAGGATTAGCCTAGTGAGCTGCGGCGCCAGCCATATAGTAAACCTTTAAGTTAAATATATTTTGATTCAAAATATGAAAGTCTCACTTTAATTTCCAAGTGGACTGAGTGTTGTCCAATAGAATTTCTTTAATTTTGCAGTAACAGAATTCGTGAACAAGGTATACTAAATTTAGTACAGAAGGACAGTAGCCACCTTCTCCTCTTTTCATTTCGACTGTGAAAACACAGGGACCGCAGTCAGTTCACCTTTCCTATACCATTTCTGAATTTGCTAAAGATATACTATAGCAAAGGAAGAGTGCTGAAAGATAGGCAGTATGAGAAATGGTGGTGGTTGGGGTCAGTGCCAGTTCTAGTCCCAGCTGCTCCTCTTCCTTTACCCGTTACGCCACAGCACCTGCCTCCACTCATGTTCTTTAAAAATAAATTTTCTATTTTACTTTTAAAAACATTGGGCTGTATAACTGTGCTGAGACAATACATTTGTCTTGCTTTTTTTTTTTGTTTCCTGTTTTTAAAAAATATATTGTATTAACTATGTCTTAGGTTGAGTTCTTTAAGGAAGTGACTGTGAGATCTGCATAACTGGGGTTTACTGGGGCAGCGTCTCAGAAACAAGACCTGTGGGGACTGACAGAGGCAGAACTGGGCAGAGGGAACAGGGGCGCTGTGATGCAGTCAAAGCAGAGGCCTCAGCCAGCTCTACAGGGCGCCATGATGTTGGAGAAGCCCTTCCCCTCGGAGTTCACCTGGATTGAGGCCAGGGAGCCAGGCTCTTCCCTTTCATATTGGCCTGTCTTCGGATAAATTCTGCCTCCAGGGAGACTTTGTAATCTGGCTGAAGGCACCTACTTTTGGGAAAGGGCAATTTACCAGGAGGAACTGAGCTGGGTGTTTTCAGCTGCCCAAATTTCTGGAAGCTGGGGGAATAGGTTCTTTGGTTCTGAAGACAGGAAGGCGGGTGGGCTATAGCACTGACTACAGCCTGATAATGCATTATTTTAGTTTATGTCATTTTAAAGCCATGGTATTCTTACCTTTATTTTTAAAAAGAATTTCTAGTTACATTAGTTTTTCTTTTACAGTGAAGAAATATTTCTTTATCAACTCACTGAACATATTTAAGTTCTCTTTATCCATTTCTGTCTATTGGTTGGAATCCATTCAGCTTTTCTTCCCTCTAGGCCTACTCCATCAATTTATTTTAAATCTCTCATTTTTCTTTTTTCATTGATTTAGGAGGTGTATTAATTTTCTATCATTGCTATAACTAATTACTATAATTTTAGTGCCTTAAAACAACACTTGCATACTATTTTTTTTTAAGATTTATTTTATTTATTTGAAGACAGAGTTACAGAGAGAGGTAGAGACAGAAAGAAGGGACTTGAACCGGTGCCCATATGGGATGTTGGTGCTTCAGGCCAAGGCTTTAACCCACTTCACCACAGTGCTGCCCCCCCGCCCATTTCCTTTCTAGCTGTTGGCCAGAGGTCATCTCAACTTTTAGAAGCAGTCCATATCTGATTCTATAGATTTCCTGTGCAAATTATTTCTGTGAAATCCATTTTGCTATTATTATATCATAATCATTGTTCTCTCAAATGTGATGATCAACTACTTACTGAATTCTTTTTATCATTTCCAATAGCTTCTTTGGTATTCTTGGATTTTCCAGGTGTTATATAATTCATACACAATGTTAATTTCATGTGGCACTTCTTCCCCTTGTTTTATTGCATCATTCATGAGAATTTCAAGGATAATATTGATAACCATTTTAATGGTTTCTGTGGCAGAGTTGCTAATCCCATTTTATGTTTAATAACAGATGGTATGACCTCATGTTTTATCAGGGAACATGGCATCCAAACTAGAGAGCTCTTCTCAGCCTCCCTTACAGCAAGCAAGTAGTGGCCATGTCACTAGTTTCCACGGCTTAAATGTGAAGAGAAGTGATGCGTGTGACTTCCCTATCATTCCCTTAACAGGGTATGGCACTGACGACATTTGACCTTAACAAGTAAAAACACATTTTCCCAAATTACTTGTCCACAGTGTCATTCTCTGAAATGACCATAAGCATCTCACAAAACTCTGGTGTTCCGGGGATCAAGGTTGAGAAACCCTAGTGTTCCATTCTAAGTGTGTTGTTCAGCATGGTAAAAAAAAAAAAAAAAAAGCACTGTCCATACCTGCTTTATTAATATGTATCTTAGAATGAGTAAGGGATATTTTGTCCTTGAGATCATCTCGGTTATCTAGCATTATGATTATTTAATAGATTTATATGTTGAATTCTTCATAAACACACTCTATTTAATGATAGTGAACTGTGTCGTTAAGACGACACCAAACGTTTTGCTAACATCTAGGACCCAAAGGAACATCAACTGCAGCCAGCCACTGGGGACACAATGAATGACGTGCATAAACTCGGTCGCAAGTGAGCCTGCGTAGGATGCTGAGGGTTGGGTTGGCCGCAAAAATTAAGCTCACGTCTCTGAGAGCACCTGCACCGGTCTCCTCCCCGCCATTCCCTACCTGGGAGCTGTCCACACGCCGGCCCGCAAAGGATTCGGGGAAAAAGCAGCTGGCCAATCTAAGGGGCCGGAGGGCACGGGAGAGGCGGGCACAAACGCTCCTTTGACTGACGCTAAAGCCATCCAATGAAAATAGGGCGTAGTGCCGAGCGGGGCACAACCTTAGCGGGTTTCGACCAATCCCGCTCAGAAGTGTCTGTCTTCTGGGCGGGGCTGGTGGTGGCAGCGGCCGTTCGCGTCTGTTGAACGGCTTGTGGGAGTCCTGCTGCTTCGGGCCAGGGCATAAAGTCTCTGAGAGGAACGTGTCTGTCCGGGGAGGAAAATGAGTTTAGCTCTGAGGTCGGTAGTCGTGAGGCGGCCGCGCTCCCCACGCCGCGGAGCGGGCCCCGGGCGTGCTCGCGTGCGTGTGTGGGTGTGGAAGGGAGGCCGTTGGGGCCGAGGTGAGGAGGGGGCTCGCCGGCCTGCCAGCCCCCAGCCCCCCGGGAGTGCAGAGCCCTGCAGGAGACCGGCCCGGCGCTCGCTGCCGAGGTGGTCGCCTGTGGCCGCGCACCGGGCTTTCGGCCTAGGGGGGTGGGCTTGCGAGCGAGGAGGGCGTGCGGTGCTGCGACCCCGCACCGCTGCCCACGGAGTCGCTCGCCCGTGTGCCCCCGGCCCCGCCGAATCGGAGACCGGCCCGGAGTCGGTGTCTTCTGTCCCGACCCTAGCCCTCGGTCTGTGCCCCCCACCCCCCGTGTCAGATAGCCTTGAAGGCAGGTGGCTCAGAGACTGTGTTCCGCCACGGGTGGCCCTGGCTGCGGTCAGGTGTGGGCGGGGTCCGGACTTGCCCGCGGGCAGTCCGGGCAGGGGAGTGGCTGACCCCGGCTGTGCCAGGTGTGTGTCCACTCGGGTCTCTTGGGGAAGGTCTTCCTCAGCTCTGACGTACTGCACCTGCTGTCATTTGGTAGCCATCCCTATTGCCTTTTTTTCCCCCTTAAGATTTCAGAAACCAAAATAAGTTTTTTGTTTGTTTGTTTGTTTTTTAAAGATTTATTTATTTGAAAGGCAGAGTGAGTGACAGAAAGAGACAGGGAAAGAGATCTTGGATCCGCTGGTTCAGTCCTCAAAGGGCGTCCATGGTTGGGGTTGGCACAGGGGGGAGCCAGGAGCCCTGAACATGGCAGTTCACCTGAACATGCCACCCTCCTGGGTGGCAGGGGCTCAAGCTTTGGGGCCATCTTCCGCTGCCTTCCCGGGGAGCAGCTGGGACTCAGGGTTTGTGTTCCTTGGACCTGAGAGGCAGCCCTACCTGCTGGGCCACGATGCTGCCCCCCCCCCCCCCCCATGGCTTTCACATGCAGATAAGATGATCTGTTATGAGACAATCAACTGGTTTTACATTTAGAATTTTTAAAACGTGTTCTTACAGAATTTGTGTTCTCATTTGAAACTCTGAAACACTTCTACATCTGTCTCAGATGGAAGACATTCCTAACTTCCAAATAATTTTGCTTTTCATTTTCTTTACTCTTTTCCAGAGTTATGAGAAGTTTGACCTATAGTTTATAAGTTAAATGAGACAAGAATTTTCACATTTTTTGGAAGTAAGCACAAATGCTACATACCACTTTTTGATCTTTTAACATTCATGATATATTTAGACTCACTGCTTTGTTGGCTGACATGTTAATATTGATGGAAGAAACTACAAACAAAGTGCCTAGATGTGATCCAAAATAGTTTTGAACTTACAATGCCAAAATATAGGTTAATTGATAAATTATTTGGCACTTTTTTGTAGTAATCTTGAAAACTTAATTACAAGAAATATACTGAAGTATAATAAATATTTATGTTGATTGTCAATTATGAATTCTACTTTGATTTGGATTTTTTTCCACTTTTGCAGAATGATATAATAAGTGTTGATTTGGTTTTGATTGAGGTTTTTGGTCTGAAAGTAATATTTCTGACCATTCTTTTTTTTTAAGGTTTTTTATTTATTTATTTGAGAGGTAGAATTATAGACAGTGAGAAGGAGAGACAAAGATCTTCCGTCTGTTGGTTCACTCCCCAGTGGCCGCAACGGCTGGAGCTGTGCTGATCTGAAGCCAGGAGTCTGGTGCTTCTTCCTGGTCTCCCATGTGGGTACAGGGGCCCAAGGACTTGGGCCATCTTTTACTGCTTTCCCAGGCCACAGCAGAGAGCTGGATTGGAAGAGGAGCAGCTGGGACTAGAACCAGTGCCCATAAGGGATGTTTGCACCGCAGGTGGAGGATTAACCTACTGCGCCATAGTGCCAGCCTCCTCTGACCATTCTTGTTTCTTCCAAGTAATAGTAGTGGGAAAAAATACTGAGTTGGGAGGAGGGAAGGTTTGGTCCCCCCCCCCCCTTTTTTTTTTGAAATGTATATGAAAGAGTGACAGAGACAGAGTCAGAGAAATCTTCCATCTCTGAATGGCCGCTATGGCTGAGGCTGGGCCAGGCTGAAGCTAGTAGCCAAGAACTCCATTCAGGTCTCCCATTTGGGTGATTGAACCAACCACTTGAGCCATGCCATAGTTGTCTGCCTTCCCAGGTGCATTAGCAGAGAGCTGATTGGAAGTGAAGCAGCTGGGACCTGAACTGGCACTCATGTGCGATGCCAGTGTGGCAGGTGGTGGCTTAATCCATTGCATTGTGACAGTGGCCCTTGTTCCCCATTTCTGTCAGAGTTTCGGCTTCATACTGGGAAGTGTACATTCATAGAACTGTGGACTATGGAACAAGCAGGATGTCAACTCATACAGAAAAAATACTTTATCTTTCTTCAACATATTTCCTTTTTGGAAATTTAGAAAGTTGTTGATTGTTTAGTTTGCATAAGAGAATACTATTAGAGTGGACTAATGACTTTTTTGTTTCCATTTTATAGAAGTGAGCTTGTAGTAGACAAAACAAAGAGAAAAAAAAGAAGAGAGCTCTCTGAGGAACAGAAACAAGAAATTAAAGATGCCTTTGAACTTTTTGATACAGACAAAGATGATGCAATAGATTATCATGAACTAAAGGTAAAGTATAAAGTATATATTTATCTGTTAAGTTGATTTGCATTTTTGACAGCTTTAAAATACATTTATTTTATTTATTTATTTATTTTATTTTTTTGACAGGCAGAGTGGACAGTGAGAGACAGAGACAGAGAGAAAGGTCTTCCTTTTCCGTTGGTTCACCCCCCAATGGCCGCTGCGGCCGGCGCACCGCGCTGATCCGATGGCAGGAGCCATTTGCTTATCCTGGTCTCCCATGGGGTGCAGGGTCCAAGGACTTGGGCCATCCTCCACTGCCCTCCTGGGCCATAGCAGAGAGCTGGACCGGAAGAGGAGCGATCAGGACTAGAACCCCGTGTGCCGGCGCCGCAGGCGGAGGATTAGCCTATTGAGCCGCGGTGCCGGCCAAAATACATTTCTATATAATTATTGTAACTGAACTGGTTTTGGAACTATGAAATCTTTTTAAGCATTCGTAGTTAGGTGCTATAGTAAAACAGAACCCCTAATGCAGTTGTATGAAAACGTTTTTGCATGGTAAAGTGAATGATATTTTAAATGTAAAAATACATTCCTATGAAAGATGGTTATTTTTCATTCACAAAAGTAATGGATTGGAAGCTATGGAATTTAAGCAGCTCTTATCATTATCATTCTTCCTGTTGGTTTTATTTAGATTTTGGTAACTCATGCTTTTTTTTTTCATACTGGGAGAGTGGGTTTTTAAGCTTTTAATTTAAACATGTTAGTAACACAATCTCAACCTACTTTCTCTAGTGCATACATAATAAGTTGTTTGATGTTGAACACGTGCTAATGGAGAAAGATGTCAAATTCAAGGCTTAAAATTAGTTGTGGTGAGACACCAGCATCTTACATGTGTGCCAGTTGGAGTCCCAGCTAGCTGCTCTACTTCTGATTTAGCTCCTTGCTAAGACACTTGGGAAAACAGTGGAAGGTGGCCCGAGTACTTGGGACCCTGCACCCATATGGGAGACATAGATGGAATTCCAGGCTCCTGGCCTAGCCCAGCCCTGGTCACTGTGACCATCTGGGGAATGAACCCAGGATGAAAGATCTGCCTGTCCCTCTCTCTCTGTAACTCTGTCTTTCAAATATAAATTTTTTTGAAAGAAGTATTATTTATTAAAGATCTAAGGGGAAATTGGTATTTAAGGTTGTGTGGTTTTTACATTCAGCACGATTTGAAAAACAGCACTTTTGAGATTTTTAGTAGCCTTAATGGGTAGGTGAATAACTATCAATGTTCGTTTTGCGGCTTTATTTCTGGTAACTTTGTAAGGGATTTTAAAGGATTTCAGGTCGGGTAAGACATATGTAATGACAGGTTGGGATGTACGTGTGAAAGCAATACTAGGTGTGTTAAGTGCAACTTCCTTAGTCTTGCAGTCCTCTCTTTTCTTACATTTTAAAGAAATTACTCATTTGAGCAATTCTTCCATTATAGTGTCTCTGCCATTTGTTGCCATTGGTGTCTTGATTTGTGTGGGGCTATACTTCATTCCTGGAGCCTCCTGAGTGGTTCCTTCACTTCTAGTTCACATTGTACCCTATCCTTAGATTTAGATCATTCTTAAACTCAACATATTGTTCAGTGCTCATAAAACTTTATTGATTGCTCATTGCCCATAAAGTTCAGATTTACTTGCTTTCTGTTGAATGCCTTCTGTATCATCTACTTTTCTCATTTGCTAACTGCTTCACTCCATCTGAACTCTTCCCATTCAGGTGAGACTGCTCTGTTCACTGTTCCCCAACCTTATTCTTTGTTTCAGTGTCTTTTAACACCAGCCATGCTTGCTTTCTTTCTTTCTTTCTTTTTTTTTTTAAGATTGATTGATTTATTTGCAAGGCAGAGTTACATAAGAGGGGTGGGGAAGGGAGAGATTGAGATTGAGATCTTCCATCCACTGTTCACTCCCCAGATAACTGCAACAGTCAGGATGGCCCAAGCCAAAGACAAGAGCCTGGAGCTTCCACATGGGTGCAGGGGCCCAAACACTTGCACCATCTTATGCTGCTTTCCTAGATGCATTGTCAGGGAGCTAGATGGGAAGTGGAGCAGCAGGGACTCGATCTGGTGCCTATGTGGGATGCCAGCATTGCAGGCGATGGATTAACTCGTTATGCCACAACGTGGGACCCCCCCCGCCCCGCCCCGCCTCCCCTTTCCCCGCAACCATCCTTTCTACATACCCACTACTACTCCTTGTCTGTCCACCAAGAAACAACTTGAATGCCTCCATATAAGACTGTAATGAGTAAAATGTCTTTCTTGTTAGTAGTGACAAAATCTCTTTTCTCTGGCTTCAGGGTCCTGGACTGTTTATTTGCTAACTGATCATGTAGGATCTGATGGTAATATTTCTTCTGTTGTGTAGCCTTATAATATTTATGCCACATCTTTTTCCCATTTTGGTTGTTAATCCCTTGAGAACAAATAAGTTGTTATGGCCTTTGTCAGGTGCCTATGCTGATGAACATATCCAGTGGCAGTGAAGATACCTTTCCCTACTATGACTCAGTATTCAAAAAATGACCCTCTGTTAATCCTCCTTCATTCCCCTCTTCTTTCAGCCCCAGGGATTGATGAAACGTCAGGGGCTTCTGTTTGGGGCTTCCTCAGCAGTGAGAAGATCCCCGGGTAGCTGTATGTGACTCACTTTCTGGTGCTGTCCCATGGGAAAAGTGTGACATGAGTGGGACAGCGTCTGCTTTCCAGCTGCCTGCTGGTGCTGTTGCAGTAACTGAATTAAGACTGGATTGTTAAAAAACAAAACAAAACAGATATGCAATATTTGAGTGAGCACTTAACATCTGCAAAGAAGGGAAATCAGAAAATCCAAGAATTGAAAAAACCCTAGAAGACCAGTGGCACACAACAATATTTCCTGATTGTGAACTATTTTCTAAACACTAACTTAGTGTTTAGAAAATGCAGCCCTAGCTTTTACAAGGTATTTATAAATATTCTGGGTCAAGGGAATACATACCATTGTTTAAAATAAAAATAAGGTATATTTGACTGTTTCTTAATTTCTTCTAATTATAATGATTTTTTTGTTTGTTTTTTAAAGATTTTATTTATTTGAAAGAGAGAGAAATGGAGACAGGGGAAGAGATGGAGAGGGAGAGATCCTCCATCTGTTGGTTCACTCCCCAAATGGCTAAAATGCCAGGGCTGGGCCAGACCGAAGGCGGGAGCTTCATCTAAGTCTCCATGTGGTGCAGGGGCCCAAGGAATTGGGCCATCTTCTGTTGCTTTCTCAGCAGGTGCATTAGCAGGGAGCTGAATCAGGAGTGGAGCAGGCAGGACTCAGATGGCATGCCAGCATTGCTGGTGGCAGCTTAACTTATTATGCCACAGTACTCTTCCCCTGATGTTTCTCTTAAAGAGGGAAAGGCACTCTGTTTTCTTAAGACTTCTAACATTTTTCAGGTATGTATAGAAGGAGGTAAATAATACAGAAACCAGTCATGAAAGGGCTCTGAGAAGACTGGATTTGTCATTTCCATGGAGAATGGCAGAAGTTGGGTATTCCTGAAGTGTGATTATTAGTGGGGGGGGGGGGAATCTTCAGCATATCATGAAAAAATATACATGAATTTCAAAATTGCTTTATCCCAAAATATGCTTCTTTTAATTAAAAAATAGTTTGCTAAAATTATATGTGCATTGTCAGTTTATCGTATAGTATATTCTGTAAACACTTGATTAGTCTGTCATATAAAAAACAACCTATACATTGAAAGATTTCCTGTTTGATTTCAGCAGTGGAGAACTACACTAACACTTTGTTATTTTAGAAACATTCAGAAGAATTATATTTTATTAATGTGTTGCCATCTCTTTAAGATTTAAAGACTTCCTTAAGAATTGGAAATCACTTCTTTAGTAAAGAGTACTTTATAATTTGTTTTTCCTTTTTAATCCAAAAGGTGGCAATGAGAGCCTTGGGGTTTGATGTAAAAAAAGCTGATGTACTGAAGATTCTTAAAGATTATGACAGAGAAGCCACTGGGAAAATCACCTTTGAAGATTTCAATGAAGTTGGTATGTATTTTAATAAATAGTCTGTAGCCAGTAGTTAGGAAGGTATCTGATTAATACAAATTTTGTTTGCTTAATTTTCTGGATTATGGAATTTTTTAATTGAACATTGGTGTGTAATATGGCTCTTATGTCAGGTTTTTTCTTTTTTAACTCTTTAATTTTCAAAGAAAAATTATTGGCAGCTTTGCTGTGAAATTTATAGTTTTGTCTTCTGTTTTATTCTGAATATTCTAACCAAGGAACTATTGGGTAGCTTTTATGGAAAGCTTTTCCAAGTAATATGATTTATATTATGTGATAAAACTAAAAAGATGGTCAAAAATTTGTTTTCTCTCAATAAAACAGAAAATTTGTATCCTGCTGTTTGGAAAACAATTCCCAGTACCTTTCTGGTATGTGATTTTTGTTGGCAAAGAGGAAGAGAAGGAAACTGGTAGCAGTTGATGTCCTTGGTTGTTGAAGTGCATGCCTTCAGGCTGACAGTTTATAAGGGGCTGTGTACTCTGGGTGACCTTGATCTCAGTGAATTAAGTCATCTGTTTAGTTGAGGGTGGAGTGTGGGAAGTAAGGGAGGCAGTTTGCCAACTGGAATCAGAAGAAAATACTTTAAAGTCATCAATGTATCATAGTTTATAATGGTTTAATATGGTTAAATTATTGCACGGTTGATTTTAGCGAAGTGTTTATAGCATATGTAGATTGTAGTTTTTCAGAATAGAAGATTTTGGAAAGACAGTTAATGTAACAATGTATTGTCTATGACATACATAGAATGTATAAATAGTCAAGTTTATTTTCAGTGTTATTTTCTAAACCAATGATACCACTTTTGGTGAATCATAATATAGGCACAGCTAGATATTTTCAGATTATCTAAAAAATTTAGCAACAAATTAAATTATATGCACACACATACCATTACTTTAAATATTCAGCAAGAAGCAATATGAGAAGGAAAAAAAAAATGGCAATGTGCAGACCCCAAACCCAGAGAAACAAGATTCATATCATTAGGTTTTTGTATTTGTTGTGTTTTTGTTTGTTTGCTTGTTTTGGTCTGAAAGCTCAAACCAAAAGCAGTTAAGCTGCGAGGTAGACCTAAGAGGAAGAAACTGTAGCACAGAGGATCCCCAGCTCAGGAACTGATAAATGACTGTTTGGAGAGGCATCTTTGGCTCTTTGGGGAACATATTCTTTCTTTTCCTCTAATTTCTAGAACTGGGGAGAGGAGGAGAGTCACCTTTATTCTCTCAGTTTGGCTGTTCTTCTGGAGTTTATGATCGTAGTATTCCAACTTTGAACTTAGTTTTTTTGTAGAACAGGGTTAGGATATATGGAAATAATGCAGGTATATTACCATTCCCCTTGTTCCTGCTATTGGGAAAGAGCTATAATTCAGGTGCATTAGACCCAGTAATAGTGGGTTAGCATGCACCACCTGGGAACCAGATCCCCAGGGTTCAGATCTTGGTTTTGCCACTTCCAGTTGTATATCTTGGTTATTGTACTGCCTTATTTTTAACTATAAAATGGGGATATTTGCACTCTCCAAAGTGTTCTTGTGAGGATTAATAAGTTAATTGTATGTAAAGCATTTAGAAGTTGGCATAGTGTATAGTTAAGTGCTACGAAGTCTGAGTTTCATTGGCTGGAAATAATCATATATGCATCACTGAGAAATAAATATTGTTCTCTGCATATTTTTATGGTCTTTTTGTTTTAGTTGCCAGATATTTTAAGTACCATGTCATTATCATCAATAATTTTATAAAACATTTCATCTTGGGCAATTATAATTTTTTTAGGATTTATTTATTTATTTGAAATGGAGAGCGAGGGAGAGAGAAAGGTTTTTTCCATCAGTTGGTTCATTCCCTCAACAGCTGAAATAGCCAGGTGTGGATCAGGCTGACACCAGGAGCTGGGCCCTCCATCCGGGTCTCCCATGTGAATGACAGGAGCCCAGGTATGTGGGCCATCTCCCGCTGTCCTCTTGGGTGCATTAGCAGGGAGTTGGATTGGAAGCAGAGTATCTGGGACCTGAACTGGCACTCTGCTATGGTGCCAGTGTTGCAAGCTACGTCTTAACCTGCTGCCACAATGTAGGCCCTGAGGGAGTGTAATTTTTTTTTTTAAAGATATATTTATTTATTTGAAAGTCAGAGTTACACAGAGAAAAGGAGAGTAGAGAGAGAGGTCTTTCATCCGCTGATTCACTCCCCAGTTGGCCACAACGGCTGGAGCTGTGCCGGTTGGAACCCAGGAGCCAGGAGCTTCTTCTAGGTCTCCCATGCAGGTGTAGGGGCCCAAGCAGTTGGGCCATCTAATACTGTTTTCCCAGGCCTTAGCAGAGAGCTGGATCAGAAGTGGAGCAGCGGTACTCCAACCGATGGCCATATGGAATGCTGGCACTGCATGTGGCAGCTTTACCTGCTATGCCACTGCGCTGGCCCCTGAATATAATTTGAAAAGTGTGATTTTTATTAGTTGAGACCAGAGTCCCATGCCACCTCTGTTTTCTTGACATCTCGTTTTTTCTATCTTATTAGTGGAACAGAATAAACAGAAATACATCTTTTCTGTCTTATTAATAGAACAGAATAAATATCTTTGTCTTGACTCTCAAAGGCCATCTGTTAGGAGTAAAAATTTACTATTGGGGAATCAAGCAATGAAGAACTGTGTATTCTCCTTATTTGTTGATTGTTCTTAATTAATAACTGACCACATAATATCTGTTTTATACTTTGGGGCAAATGACTCCAAATCAAAATGTACCATCCATTACTGTCTCATGGATGTTTCTGGGTGAAGTCTGGCACTTTACTGGATTCTTCCCAGTAATAGAAAAAAACTGTAAAGCATATTTAATGTCAGTTTAGAGTCAAGTCAGCCCGAGGCCAATGAGTAACATAGGTGTTTTAGGAATCGCTAAGATCAAGATAAGTCATGTTTGTACTCTATTTTTAGCCATGTACTACTTATTATTTAATTGCATGGTTAGGGTAGACCATTATATCATTGTTCATTTTACTTATTTAACAAACACTGAGTTTCTTGGCATTAGGAACTGCACTGGTATGAGAAAGGGGAATTAAAAGTTACTAAGAGGTTCTTTTTAAGGAACTTACTATTTAAATATAGGTGACTACAAGCTATTGTACTATGTGGTAAATTATCGTTTTGTCCAGGGCAGGAATTGAGATACTAACCCTTGGCATAGATTTGCTTGTTGCCAGGACACTCACTCTGTTTTGCTGCTTTTGTGCTACCTTGGCAGAGTGAGTAGATTAGACAAAGAGTTTATGACCCCTGGAAAGTCTAAAATATTTACCATCTTGCCTTTTATGGGAAAGATTTCTCCATGCTGATAGACAGGGACTGGAGAAGACTTTGAAGAAGGGATCTTAATCTAGGCCTTTGGGATGTGAATAAGATTTCATTCCAAGGAGAAGATTTCAGGAGGAATAGAGAAAAGGCATTCCAAGAATAGAAGTCAGCGACAATGGAGTGGTACTAGAAGTGTACAACAGTCTTGGGAAAATTCCGGTAGCCCCTGGAACTGGAGGATAGGGAAATGATTAGAGAGGCAGGATTGGGCCGGTTTGGGGACATTTTGTGTAACATAAAGAGTTTGCACTCTAGTCAGCAAATGAATCATTGACAGTTATGAAGGAATGGATTATGATATTTTTTAGAAAGCGGATGAGAATATTGGAAAGATGGATCAGAGGGGAAAGAGACTTACAGACTCAAAATTCCTAGATTTTTCATAATGGAGGAACAAAAGAAATTATTGAATTAAAGAGGTAAAACCCCCCTATCTCCTCATATTTAAGGAGCC